ATATATATATATATATATATATATATATATATATATATATATATATATATATATATACACACATATATATGTATGTATGAATGCATGCAGGAGCAGGCGAAGCCGTCTCACCTGTTGCTGCAGAGTGGCAGCGGGCTGTAGGTCGGAGTGGTGTTGAAAGAGGTCAGCTGTTTGTAGTCTCCATGGAGCAGCAGCAGCAGCAGCAGCAGCAGCAGCATCTGCATTAGCACTAGCATTTGCAGCAGCAGCAGCTTGTCTTGCTGCTGCATCATCTTCTAGTATTTGTAATACCTGCTGTATAGACATAGAAGCAGCCATCTCCGGCAGCTGCAGCGGCAGGGCCCCGCTCCAGCCGCACGGAGCCAGAGCCGGGGGGGGCAGGCCAGGGTATAAGAGAGAGAGAAGCCCCAGTCCCCTTCTCTGCAGCAGCAGAGATCTACGTATAGCTTGTTCTTCTGCTGTCTCCTTTGTATTGTGTTTACTACGACGCTCTTGTATAGAAAGAGAAGCAGCAGCAGCAGCAGCAGCAACAGCAGCAGCAGCAGGAGCAGGAGGAGGAGAAGGAGAAGGAGAGGGGCCCCGGGCCTGCAGCAGCTGCGAGACACGCAGCAGCTGCTGCGCACTGACACCAATAGGTACAAGCCAAGAAGCAGTAGAGAAGCAGCAACCAAAGCTTATAGCGGGGAACTGCAACCGAAAATATTTTAGTTGCTGCAGGGCCCCATACAGCCCAATACCCCAAGCATAAACATTTGCCCCTTGTAGAGCTCTCAGCTGTATACGCAGGTGCGCCATCTCCGCCGATACAAATATCACTCCATCAGATATCCAAGCTAGACACTGCAGCAGGGGGTCCTGTAGGGGCCCCCCAGCAGCGAGGGCCTGGCGGGGCAGTGTAAGCCGGGGCCTCTGTGGGGGCCGGCGCCCGGGGCCCCCAGCCCCCTCTCCAGCTGCTGCATGCGCTCCTCGTGGGGTTCCGTTCCCAGCAGCAGTTGGAGGGGGTACTGCTGCTGCTGCTGCTGCTGCTGCTGCTGCTGCATACTGGCTCTGGGGCGTATACAGAACGCCGCCGCCACCGCCACCAGCAGCAGCAGCACCTGTGCTCCCCCCCCCTAGCTCTCCTGAGAAGAGCTTCGGTACTACAGAGGCGTTCTGCAGCAGCTTGCTGCCGTCTTCTCCTCTTATAATACAATCCCGCAGAGAAACAACCAAACGAAAAGGCATAACAAGCGAGCGCGGTGTATCCTCAGCTCCCCTTATCCCTCCATCTGCTGCTGCATCAGCATCTCCTCCTCCTGCTGCTGCTGCTGCTGCTGCTGGAGGCCGCCCCATGAACACTGCTGAGCCCAGCACCCGGCGACCCCCACCCCAGCCACTGGCTGGCCGCTGCTGCTGGCTCTGCAGCAGGCTCTCTGATGTCTGCTGCTCGGAGACAAAGGAGAGCTCAAGTTCTTTCAGCAGCACTTCTAGAACGCAGTTGTTTTGTCTTTGTGGGGTTTGCTGCAGCGTTGTCTGCTGCCTTTTCCTGCTGTCTGGTGGTGGTGGGGGTGTTTCTTCTCTACCGGGTTGTTGTTGTTTTGTTTGTGCTGAGCCAGATGTAGAGAAAGATATACGCGGCGAGGCGCTGCGTGCAGCCTCCTCGCCGCACCCCACAGAGTCCTCAGGTATACGGGGCCTCTTCAGCAGCTCAACTCTTAGCAGCGGTGCTGCTACTTTTATTGAGCCCAGTGCTGTCTCCTGTTGAATGCCAGCAGCAGCTAGTCTATCTATAGGTGCTGCTGCTGCTGCTGCTGCTGCTGCTGCAGCAGGAGAAAGAAAACGAGCGTTGTGCTGCGGATGTAAGTAAGAGAAAGAGGAATATCTCGCCCCCCGCATATCAAAGGGGGAGACACCAGCTCTGTTGCTGAAGGGGACAGAGCCTAGGGGGGGCCCGGGTGCTGCTGTATACTGTGCATGCAGTCTCCGCTGCTGGGGCTGTTCTGCAGCAGCAGCTGCTGCAGGGGCCCTCAGGCCCTTGACGGTGAGTACTAGATCAATAGAAATACAGGGAGAGAGAGGAGCTGCAGCTAGAGAACAGAGAAAGTATGTAGCTTCATTTGTTAGGGTTTTTCTGAATGTTGTTGTAGGCAACAGACGCGTAGAGGCGGGGACAGCAGGCAGCTGCAGCAGCTGGCAGGGGGAGGGGAGCGTCAGCTGCAGCGAATGAATACAGAGAGAACCGAAGGAGTCGTGAGAGAGACGCCGCAGCGCAGCACGCAGAGCAAACCCCAGCTGCAGCAGAGAGCCAGGCAGGTGACCCCACAACCTTCTATCCACCTGCAGTGCTGCTGCTTCTTGTTTCTCATAATAAAAGGGATCCGATCCCGGGCTGCTTGTCCCTCTGCCTAAACCAGCTGCAACTGCTGCTGAAAACTGCTGCTGCTGCTGCCGTTGCTGCCGTTGTTTCTGTTGTTGCTGCTGCTGTTGTTGCTGCTGCTGCTGCTGCTGCTGTTGCGCTGCTTCTGTTGCTGCAGTTGTAGGAGAAGAGCTGGCAGCAGGAGCTGCTGCAGCAAAGTCTGAGTGGGCCGCAAGGGTGGGGAGACACTGCACTGCAGCACGAGCTGCTTCTGCTGCTGTCTGCTGCTGCTGCTGCATGCCCCGCCTGATAGCCTCAAGCCCCATCGACAGCCGCGACAGCACCGCCGTCATCTCGCCGTCTTTTCCAAAGAGACGTGTAAACGCGTCAACCTGCATATACACCCCAATACATAATATAAAATAAACACGAATTTCTCTAACTCATATATATATATATATATAC